AGGTGTTGACCTGATATGGTAATATGGGTCTGTCCGTCCGTCGCTGTGTCCGAGGTGTTGACCTGATATGGTAATATGGGTCTGTCCGTCCGTCGCTGTGTCCGAGGTGTTGACCTGATATGGTAATATGGGTCTGTCCGTCCATCGCTGTGTCCGAGGTGTTGACCCGAGTGTAACCTCTCCATTATTTCACCTGGGGTCACCAGACTTGGTATGTTAGTACATCTTGAGAAGGCAAGAGTTTTGCATAAAAACAGTCTGTACACTGAGCTGTGACCCAGATTATTAGCAAACTACCGGTACATAGATTCCAGCCTGCAGACAGATATATTATCCAGGGCCTTTATTCATGAGACCGTTCTCTTGCTCGAGCTTGGATTGTAGTGCTTAAACCAACTTTCTTTTAATTTGCTTGAATCATGTAAAACAATAAAAAAAACCAGTAACGAGGTAAACAGTATTGTGCTTTAATTATTATTTTTTTATCCATATATATAACTGAAACAGAAGATTGGGCTTGAGCACAAAATCCATGCTTGAGCATGAGAACGGTTTCATGAATACGGGCCTTATTTTTTTTACCAAAGAGTTCGATGGGGTGCCATACCACTTTTTGTGGAAGCTAGAATGCTATGGCGTACGGGGGCAATCACATTCCTGGATAAGGAGGTTTTTGGAGCGACGGAATCGGTGGTCATGGTAGAAGGAACATCACCAGAGGAAACCTCAGTCCTTAGAGGAGTACCCTACCTCTCCAATTCCTTAATGACCTTCCAAATAACATATCACCCAAGGTCAGATTATATGCAGATGGCTGCATTATTTACAGGGCAATAAATATAATGGGAAGAGAAAACGGGGATCTGAAGATTTCAAATGGATATACCAAGGCCCATTTCGATACCTTCGCTCTAATTTGGAGTACTGTACATCTGATTGAGTCCCCACACCAATAAACGGATTGACCAGCTCGAAAAATTAAGAGGAGAGCGGACCTTGACACCGAAAATGGATACCATACCAGCAGCAGTTTACAGTCCCAACCATGGGAGTTGTTGAAATCCGAGCGTGGTCCGATTGTACTTTCTGTTTAGGAAAGTGCTTGTAGTTCCCGTGCAATTTATCTCATAGGTAAGACATTAATGGAAAGCCTGTGGCTTTTACTTATGTTATTTATCTGCATTTCATTAATTGATTGGTTGATGATGGAGTGCGCGAAGAATGGCTACATTGTATGACATTAAATATATCTAGACGTCTAGTTAAGTATTATTGTCGCAATAGTAAAAGTTAATATTTACACATCGTAGATTAAAAGGACGGATAAAATGTTGTGTGCATGATCTTTCCAGTGCACGTTTAACCTATTTTTGAAACTAATCAAACTTTCGGCATTAACCACTTCAGCTGATAAATTGTTCCAATTAAATTGCTGAAAATGTTCTCGATGGTGTTTAAGCGGCATTGTTTCTTAAAGAGCTTTAGCTGGTGACCTCTAGTTGCCGGATAGGTGAATTCGGTAAATAATTTAGATTTGTCTGCATCGTCCACACACACCACTCAGAATTTTGTACACTTGAATCATATCAGCCCATTGTCTTCTATATTCAAGTGTGGGCAATCCTAGTCATTTTAGTCGACTGAGTAAGGTAAGTCTTGCAATGTTATTAACCTTTTAGGTGCACGTCTTTGTATGTTTTCCACTGATTGTATGTCTTTCTTTAGGAGGGGTGACCATATTGTGGAGCAGTACTCAATATGAGGTCTGGCAATGATTTGTATAATAATAGGAATGTTGTCTGATTTAGAAATGTAAATGTTCTAAAAATAATTCCTAACATCCTGTTTCCTTTGAAAACGGCTGCAGACACATGTTCGCTAAATTTGAGCTTTTTGTCGAATGTCACTCCGAGGTCTCTCTCCTGTTTTTACATTTAAGTGCTCACCTGTTTGAGCTGTTAATTATATATGGTTGTCAAAACACACACACACCCACACAAACCACTCTCAACACTTTAATATCATGTTACGCTTGCAGTGGCGGAGTATCAATACCCTTGCCTCGTTACATACAACACACATGCCAACCCACGCACGTGTCCTTGATCAACGCCCACACACTCCCGAGTCCCCAAACGATTATGTTTGGTGACTGTTCTCCCACGCCCACAGACGTACATCCCAGTCCATAGACATAGTGGGGGCGGTGTCCAGGATGCGCGTGTACGTTCCCAGTGATACGGGTAGTTCTCCGTTATTTTGTTGGGGACCGTACCGGTCAGGGTCTGCTCCTTCGGGTAATGGAAATAGCCGTAACATGAACCCCTTACCTTTAACAAATAAAAATGTCACAGTGTCATTATAAATAAGCAGGAATATTAATGTTCGTTACATTTTTTTCGTCGTGAAAACGTGAAAACTACATGAAATACAAAATAAATATCAAATGGCTATTTTATATTTATTTTGTATCTCATGTAGTTTTCACGTAGTGTCGACGTCGACGTAAGCTGATCCAGCTTCTTGAGACGCATCTATATACTGTTCTCTAATCACGTTCGGTTGTGGGTAACAGGTTGGTACAAATTTTTGGTGGTGATGACGCCAGTGATTGTTTAACCGAGCTTTAAAACTATTTAAGGAGGGGGCCTCTACAACTATATTTGGTAGAGAGTTCCACACGTCCACGACCCTACTGCTGTACATGTTCCTCGTTACATTGAGCCTCATCCTTCTCTTGAAGAGTTTTTTGGAGTTTCCTCTTGTTGTAGCCAATGTTGCCATTGTAATAATGTTGTCTTTATCCAGAATGTCAATGTCATACATGATTTTGTAGATTTTGTATTAACTGAAGTCAATCAGAGACGTATATATTACGTCTCTGATCGACTTGCATATAACACGTTTTAAACCGTCAACAATGACACATTCTGCTACAGTAGTTAATTTATTTCTAAACTGTATTTTACGTAACCCATGTTTTTTGTTTTTTTTACAAAGTTACGGCTAACCTCGGGGAGTAATGGTCCACCAGCATTCAACAACCTCGATAAAGAAAACCAAATTAAGTAAATATTTACTGCACCGTATGGTCATTTCGTCCTTACATTACTTATGATAATTACCTATGATGATAAATGTTTCTGTCTTCTTCATCAGTACGATCCTAGGGTAGAGGTAGCGACGTTTACGTACCGTCAGACAGTGTTCTCGCCTACCTTTGTGGACTTCCCACAAGAGGAAGCGCGGACGCGCCTCGTCTGCGTTATGAGTGTAGGTAAAGGAAAGGTAGTGGAGGTTGTCGCGCAAGTGGTTAGCCTCGGACACCTTTTCTAAGTAATTGGCGGACATTGACATAGACGACACCACCAACCTCAGTCTCATCCCTCCTTTCTTGTTGATGTAGCTACCAAGCCACAACGGATATTCCGAGGGTAGCTCCAGACCTGCTGGGACAGGGAAACGGTCCGGGGGTAACGTGGCCAGGTCGGTGTCGTCCGGTATCAGATGGGCCAGGTAGTCCCTACCAGCATCCTCATCATACGGGTTCTGGAGGAAGTAGTCTGTGTCCGTGATATTCACAGCGCTATCTAATGTGACGACCTGCTCCCCCAATAGTTTGAACACGGGGTTGGTTTTGTTAGAACAAGCAATATGCTGGCTATGCTGACTGGGTAGAGATATTTCGCTTCGCTCACAGCTAGTCACAATCCCCATGTCCTAGAACGCTCCACTATAGGAAGGACACAAACCAGTCACTACTCTTGCCTTGCATATATTGCACTACAAGATCGTCGTCATTGGAAACCATGATGACGTAAACATACCATATTCCAGTGAATTGTTTCATTGTTTGTGACGTTGATTTTGTTTCCCCTTTATGACGTCATTCTAAAAAGAAATAGAAAAATGATAGAAAAATGAATGAAATTTAAAAAGGGTCTACAACGTAAGGAGAGTTCTAAAGTGTCTTGCCTGCAGTGGGGAAGGGACCCTTAACACAGGAACTTGTGAATGATGTTCAATCAGATATGTTAAGAATTCTGTAGAGTTATGACGTGAAGGACCCGTACGTACGCCCGCTTCTGGTATGATAGAAATGTCAGTAGAGGGCGGGGTCGAGTGGTCAAACTCGAGATGATATTTACACAATGTAAGAAGAGTTCTATAGTGTCTTGCCTGCACTGGGAAGGGACCCTTAACACAGGGACTTGTGAATGATGTTATGTGTAAATCTCATCCCGGGTTTGACCACTTGACCCCGCCCTCTACTGACATTTCTTTAACTTAAGTTATCATTTATTATACTAATAGCGGGCGTATGTACGGGTCCTTGTTTTACATACCTGACTTTCACACAACACCACACATATATCAGTCCACAAAACATCTTTTTTCTCGAGTTCACTATTCGACCTTCAGGGGTCAAACACAATGTCACTGTTTGTTGCTATACATAAATATCTGCTATAAAGACGTCTTCGCTCATAGATTTCATTTCTCATACTCCGATTATTATGAAACTTTAAATATTCATAAAACAACATTAGGACTAATTCGCGTTTCGACCTTCTTGGTTTCAGAACAAGGTCACCATAACTTAACAAATTTGATATCATCGCTCAATGGACTTCGGTTCTTATCCAATTGTTTTGAACTTAAAGTATGTGTTAAAAAACAAAACACTTTGTGCAAGTTCCCGTTTCGACGTCTAAGATTGATATTATCGTTGCTATGAAACCAGAATGAAACCAGATAAGTAGGGGTATAATACCGGTAAACTATCCCCTTTAAAAGGGGATCGTGACCGGTATTTCAACTAGGTCAGATGATGCAATAGGGGGACATCCCTGGGTTGTATAGCCTAGGGGAGATAACCTTGGAAAGACCACCCACATGCGGGATGATCTAACCCTGGTAAAACCGTAACGTCATTGGAATGTATAGCCTAGCGGCAGATCCCCATTTTGGAATGTAAAAGTTGCTAAATCGAGGTCATAGGGTCAGTCCCTCATCCCTCACTGTTTACTATAAATAAAGAAGGAGGGACGGGATGCTGCAGAACCCCTAACGTCATCACGTTTATTTATAGATAAAAACAAGATTGGACACGTCTACGGTAACCTATGTATAGCATAGGGGAGATAACCTTGGAAAAGACCACCCAAATGCGAGAGGATCTGACCCCGGTAAAACCGTAACGTTAATGGCTCAAGAAATCGGATGATCTCACACTGACAAGTATATCACACAGTAAAGTAGACTGTCGTCTCGGAATTACGCAAGAAATCATCGTGAAAAAGTCAAAGGTGAGCTGAATATCTGTTTAAAAGAAGACGGGAAGAGTATACAAATAACAGGAGACTATTTTAAAAAGATACTGTTTCTATCGGAAAGTTTACAGTGTATATGCGATTTTATACATTGACATGTCAGATATTACAACAGATTGTATCCGTCATACTTCATATCACATACGACCAGTACATCAGTCTATGATGAAATGTGAAGATCGATTACAAACGTTCAAAAACTGGCCCCAACAAATACATCAGACTCCAAACGAACTCGCCCGTAACGGATTTTTTTTATTCAGGACATAGCGATAAAGTCACCTGTTTCATGTGTGGAGTACATTTAAGCTTCTGGACATCCTACGATTCGAAATAGAGCATAAAAAGTGATCGACCGATTGTGTGTATTTACAAATGGTCATACCCCTATACCTCTAAGGTTACACAGCATCGTGCTAATTTATAATGGAAATCATGAGAAATCGTATTGAGGCAAACGCTTATAAGAGGATTGTGAAAAACTTGTTATGAATAGCTTATGCATTGAGCGTAAAAGACGTCATATCGAAATAGTTTGTATGTGTAGGATGTGTGGAGGGTCAAGCTAACCAGCAAGGACATGCCCGTGTCATGCTTGATAGTGAAGACATAGTAGATAGATATTTCGAAGAAGCCCTGTAAACCGTCAACCATTTAGAAGTGGCGAAACTGTGGCGCCAATTTACTATTCAGTCCTGTATTCCTTCACACGTGTTACAACCTTTAATGGAAGAGGAGTGTTTCCACTCTGAAGACTATGTGAAACAACATTTCAGTGGGAACATTCTCAAGTTTGTGAAGAAAATAGACATTGTCAGACTGAGACTCTTTGTTTGATATGTACACTTAAATCAACCACTAAAATGGCGAATGAAAGAACTTATATCGAGACTCTTTATTTAATTTTGTGTATGCTTGTATCAACAATCACTTGAAAATGATGTTATAAGACATTTTATAAAGGAAGTGAATCGATGGAAAATTCACAACGAAATCAGAAACGATTATATATCAAATGTGTCTTGCTCAGATGGAGAAGTGGGAAAACTAAAAAATGCAACGTAGAAGTCGCTTCATAAAACCATAACAACTATCTTTTTTTTTTCATTTATGTGGAGACTTTTAAGAGTATGTATTCGTTAACCCATGTATTGTTATTAAAATGTTAACCGATTGTCTGTCTTGTCTTTATTATATTGTAAAGGTGAACATTTCGTCAGTATGTATATTTAAATAATTAAATTGTGTGTAAACGAACATGCTTTTTATCATTAGTTTTATATATTAACAAAATGTTAGAACACCAATGGGTGTTTATTACAAATATAAACACAACACTCTTTACAGCAGGTGGTTCACATTTAGATAACCTCAAACAATTTAAAGATTATCATCCAAATAAAAGTTATGCAACCTCACACTACCCGACACATTTAAATGATTTTATCTCACTAACACTCAAAATCTATACACATCATTTGTTAAACATTTCACAAGTTAAAACCGGTTTTGTTTCAAGTAGTACACAATATTTGTAAAAGACAACTATAAAAACACACCATTCAGTTTGCATAGTATGAGGTAGTTTGTTTTGAGTATTTGTCAAACACAGACCCTTTTTAAAATGAATCTGACATGATTCTCAGGTAAGTCGGGGAAAACCTGCCTAGAGCCAACGTTGTGTATACAAGTAACAAATTATCGATTGCAAAGTCGAGGAAGACCTCACACTAACGAGCATATCACAGTTGCCCCGGTTTTGGTACGATGACTGTTTCATCGACATGAAATAATGGCTACCGAATGGAATGCGGCCTATTTAAGTTATCATATGTACATACCCATCCAACAACACATTTCAATAGTACTTACAAATAGCCAAAGGCCTAGTCCAATAGTTAGATATAACAATGTGTATACATAAGATTGAAAAAGAAAAAAACACAGTATGTCCAATCAGAAAATTTTATAATCAACAAAATATATACACATCATTTGTTAAACATTTCACAAGTTGAAACCAGTTTTGTTCATAAGATATGTTATATGCAAAAAAAAGTTTATTTAAACAATATATGGTACAACCTTTAAATAGAGTTGCTTTACAAAGTTTTAAGTAAGACATTTTAAGTAGTACACAATATTTGTAAAAGACGACTATAAAAACACACCATTCAGTTTTGCATAGTATGAGGTAGTTTTTCAAAAGATCTACAACAACAATATATATAACTGATTTTTTCCCCATCATTTAAGCTTATTAAAATAAATTTCATGAAATAGGAACAAAAGTATGACTTTTCACAAGATACTTTAAAAACTAAGGTAGTATTTTTTTTTTTTTTAACATATTGGCACAATGTTTGCAACAGTATGACACAAGTTTCGTAAAATAAAATTTCAAAGTATATCATTTTCGAAATTGTGTAAGGAATGTGAGAACGTTTTCACACTTGATTTTGTTCACAATAATACTTGAAGCTAAAACATCTTTATGAAAATTGTTTTATCAAAGTACACAACAAGGTACAAAATGAATGAAAGAAAAAACCCAAATCACCCACCAGACATTTTGTTAAACACAGAGTAAATTGTAAGAACATGAAGTATATACATTAAATTTAGATAGGATGCCATATAAGAACAATGCATAATCAACAAATATTTATATTCTGTTTTGTAACGTAGGTAGTTTTTGAGTATTTTTTACATATAGGAGGCGGAATAAAGTAGATAGGATTTTGTAATTAGTTAATAAAATCTATACCATATTTAACTCATTGAGACTTCTCACCCTAAGGCAATTTTAAGATATGTAAACAATGTTTAAGATAACAATCAACAGTAGCTACATTCCCAAATGTGTGAAAGGATATCCACTCAAGCAACACCATGACCAAAGATTTAGTCCAATAGTTGGTGTAACGTCTACAAGGTTATACATACAATTTGTTAAATAATAACTTTTATAATCAACAAATAAAACAAAAACGCCAATCTGTTTAGAAAAGTTTTGCATAGTATGAGGTCATTTTAAAAGATCTTTTATAACAATATAAAATTTAGAATTTCCCCCCATAATTTAGTTATTACAAAGTCTTTTCAAGTAAAACTTCAACAAATATGAAGAAGATTAAAATATTTTGTTCAAGAAGTTTACATTTCCTTTTATAGATGTATCATAACAAATAACATTTTATAAGATTCGGTGTCAGTGTATAAGAAAGGTTATATCTTTTCAAATTAAACCTTTAACAGACGCAGTACACAGTATTTGTAAACAATCATGAAACGTTATGGAAACAGGTTTTTGCATTATATGTGGTAGTAGTATAGTTTAAAGACAGATTATTTTGAAGATTTACAACAAAGATGTGGAATGTAGAAAAATGATTTTCATCATTTGGTTATAACAAAGTCTTTTCAAGTAAATTCTTTAAAAGAAATGAGTTGAATTAAAGTATTTT